TAGGTGTCAACTTGGGGTGATTTCAGAGAAGCATTAGGTTCCATGCCAAAAATCATCTCTCCCCACCCACTATCATGGCTTGGTGAATTGCTTGTAAGTCTCGCTGTTGGTCATTACTTTGGCTTAAGGCCTTGAAGCTACTATATCTATAAACGGCATATATATTGCTGGCAATAGCATCATCTGCCAGCTTATTCATCTGCACTTCACTTTAATTCTGATTACGGACCCCACCTTGTACTCTATCCAGGACCCTGTCCTGGTGGCCGGCATAGAAACCCAGCCCTTAGAATAAAGCTCTGTTTTGCCCATGTCGGACTCCTTTCCTTGAGTCTGGAGGTCTAGCTCCAAATCCAGATCAGACAAGTCAGCTACTACTGCCAGCTGAGACATGTCACGGACAGAGCCTGCCTGCCTGGGGCCTTGCATAACTGCTTGGGCTTGGCTTCCCTGCCAATGTGCTTTTCCACCTTCCCTACTCTCTGCCTCTTCGTGTACTTGATGTCTTGCTGTTTTGACTTCTCTGATGTCAAGGCTATCTGGACCATGCCCTGCTGGCTCTTTCCCAGCCCCTTTAGATATAGCCTCTGCCTACTAGCCTGAACTCCCTTTGGGGCCTATAGCTAGCTCTGTCCCCAGGCACCCCTGCTACTCCTCCCCATATCTACCCCTCTACCCCAGGGAATAGGCCTAATTTAAAAGGTCCCATGTGTGTTGTAAGAATTTATACTGGTGGAAATAGTATTAAGAGTTGTAACATCAAATAGGGCTTTTTAGAACTTAATGTATAATATTTACTTGTTTTAATTCAAATCTTTTATATATGCTCCTTCTGCTTTCTTGAGTGAAAAGATTTTTGTCCCTTGAGATTTTTGCAGAAAGAGGTATGCATGTTTTGCAAAAGCTGGTGCCAAACAGTGTTGTTTCAGGTGTTGTTGAATTCTGTGTTTTTCAAAACTGCTGGACTGAAATAAGAAACAGCTTATTCTGGGGTTTCCTGGAAGGAATTTGGATCCCCCTCTGCAACCTGAGTTCTTCCCCTACCCATCCGGTGGCTGGCTTCTAAGCTGTGAGATCTCAGTTTCAATGTTACCTCCTGTCTTTGTCCATTTTTGTGTTGCTATAAAGGAATATTTGAGGCTGGGTAATTTATAAAGAAAAGAGATTTATTTGGCTCACAGTTCTGCAGCCTGTACAAGAAGCATGCTTACAGCATCTGCTTCTGGTGAGGGTCCCAGGCCGCTTCCACTCATTGCAGAAGGGGAAGGGGAGCTGGCATGTGCAGAGATCACATGGTGACAGGAGAAGAGAGAAGAAGCAAAAGAGAGAAAGATGGAGGTGCCAGGCTCTTTTCAACAGCCAGTTCTCATGGGAACTCAGAACAAGAATAGCACTAAGCCATTCATGAGGGACCCTCCCGCATGACCCAAACACCTCCCACCAGGCCCTGCCTCCAACACTGGAGATCAAATTTCAACATAAGATTTACAAACCATATCCAAACCATAGCACCTACTCAGAAAGGACTTTCTACTTGCCCTTTCTACTTGCCCCACCCTTGTTAGCCCCCTATCTGTTTCCTTCATGGCACTTATCACAATTTGAAATTATTTTATTTGTGTGGTTACTTGTGTTAGAGTGCCTTCCCCACCAGACTATAAGCTCCAAAAGGCATGAACCATGTCTGGTTTATAAAATTGTATTCCTAAGTCTTAACATACACCTAGCTCAAATAGCTGTTCAATAATTATCTGTTGAATGAAAGTTTTTCTCTTTTCCAGTAGAAATAATAATAAAAACTATAGACCCTACCCTTCTCTGATGACCATCAGGTGACCAAAGAGAGGAAAATCCCCTAATCCTATTCTATTTATATGTCTAGAATTTGAAAATTCTGTTTATTGTCAAGGGCCAAGACATGGACTGCCTACAGGGGATTCCAGTATCTACTAAGGATTGGGGAGTGGGCAGCTTATTTGTGGCAGCTCCCTCCAGCCTCACGGATTTCCTCATTTCCACATCATGAAAGCAATCCTTCCAGATGCCTGCAAGGCACCTAGTTCCCTTATTCTTTTGTTTTTCTCTCTGCTATCAAAATTTGCTGTTAGGAAAAAAAAAATATGAAACTCATTCATACTATGATTCTTCACAGGAGTATTATTAGCATTTAAGCACTTACACACTTTAGCCATTGGAATGAAACAGGAGTGGTAGAAATTCTGGTCTTATCTGGCACTAGAGGAAGGAAATTAAGGAAAGGGACCTGCAACGTGGAGTCTATTCACTGTATTATCAACCAGCTTATGCTCTTTAATGATACCTTTAGAGGGGAGGGGGAAGGAAGGGAAAATGAAAGTAGAGATACAGGAAATCTTACTCACTATAAAATAAGTCCCTTGGCTTTTGCAGTCTGGGCTTAATATAAACTGTTAAATGTTAATAGCTATGTTTACAAACTATGAGACGGACTGCTTTTTTTGTAGGAGAAAAAAATGGGTCCCAGATGCTTTCTCTATTTGAACTACTAGGGCATTTCTGGACTGAGCACCTTACCCTTGGATAGATGCCAGGTGAACTCCTGAGTCTCAACACTGGTGTCTTAAGATGTGTTCTATGATCTCTTCACAAGACCTCTTTAAAAAGAGCTTTCCTACCCTGATAAACAAGACTTCTTAGTAGTTAAGATAACACTTCTGGTTGTCTTTCCTAGCCTTTGTTTCTTTCTCTCAGAAATGGAACCCATTTGTTAGTGAAGGGCTGGGTTGTCCCTTGACACTTTGTTTGGAGCAAGAATCATTTCTCCTCTTCCAAAGAGGTGAGATCACTATCACAGAAGCTGCCCCACTGTCAGGGGACCTTCCTGGACCTCAGTTTCCATGTCTGTAAAATGGAGATACTAAGAACTGTTTCACAGAGTCATCTTTGGGGTATCCACTTCTCTAAAGCCTTCATACTCTTTAAGGTCCAAGTCAGGTCTCCCCTCCTCTATGTAGTTTGTTGGTTTTTTTCCCCATACGTATCACTTCCTAAAGCCTTTTGGTTCTTAGAATCAATAATAAATGAATTCCTGTTTAATTCTGTTCTAATTATTATAGAATAAAATTATGCAGGTTAATTTGATCACCTCAGGCAGATTGTGAATTCCATAGGGGTAATCATCCCTCAACATCCCAGGTTTTCAAATACTATGTATTCAAAATAACAAAAATGATAAAGATAATAATAACAACAATTACCATTTCATGACTGACTATTATGTCCCAAGTACTCTGTTGGGACATAACAACCCTCAATTAACAATCCTATGAGGTAGATATCACTAGGCCCAATTTATAGATGAGGAAACCAAGGCTCACAGATTAATTAGCTTGCTGGAGTCCAGGTGTAAATCGGCAACCAGAATTTTAACCCTTTCGTGTTTGACTCCAAAGCTCCTTGCATTACTGACTTACTGATGGGTGGGGTTCACATTCTCCACATGCCCCCTCCACCAAGTCTGCCATCCTTCTCTTATAGTCACAGCATGAAAGGGACACAAAAGAGAGATAGATATAGAGACAGATTTTATTAAGAAAAATTACACATATTACTTTCTTTTTCCTTCCTGAAAGCCTCACCATCAAGAATTGCTTTCATAGAATTTCTGATTCAAGAACACTCATTTCACAAACAAACACATTTCAGAGATAGAAGGAGAGAGAATCTTAATGCCAGTGCCAACCAATAGATAAAAAGTTATCTCCCCCACCCCCCAGGGCCCGAGATGTCCAGTCATTCTTCCCTAAATGGGATCCCAGTCACTTTTCTCCACTTATCTACCCTGATCCTGCTTTCCATCCACCAATGGCATCCAAATATCAGCAGAGGGGCTCAGAGATGGGCAGGTGGGGAACAGGCTGAGGCTCCTTATGGGCCTTCACCCTCCTGTGTCCTGACCTCTCATGCCTATCCATTTAGGCTGATAACACCAAGACAGCAAGGTTCAAGCCCCTCTGCCAGGCAGCAGGAGAGGAGGGAAAGAAGACAGAGTTTCTCTGTGGTTCCTATCTTGATTTCAGGACTCTCTCCCCTTCATCCATCCTATCAACACACACACACACACACACACACACACACACACACACATACACATACACACATGCATTTTTAAAAAGTAATTATCTCTTTGTAAGTCTCAGTATCCAATTCTGAGCATCCTTTACCTTCATCCAAAATGGCAGCCACCCATTGTAGATCCAGTGAATAGGGAAACCAGGCCAGTCCCTGGGGAAGGCAGGACTTTTCTGCAGCCCCTACTTGGCAGTCTTATTGGAGGCATCAGTGAGACATAGGACTCTTTGTGTTCTTTAAATAAGGGCCTTGCCAAGAGAGCTGGAGATTCCCCTACTATTTCATGCCCCTGATAAAGCCTCCAGGAAAAGAGAGATCTGGGGGCCTCCATAGCTGTCATCACACCTCCTCTTGGCACTCGTAAGTTGGCAGTCAGCAAGGGAAATAAATAGGAGGGAAAAATAGTTTTCCAGTGTTTTCTCTCCTTTTTTATTTTCATTTTCACAGCAGAATTATTTTTCCCAAGGGGAATCTGAGAAGCACAATGCCCTCCCTGTCTTAATAAGACCAGGAGAAATTCTGCTGGCCTCAGTGGCTGGTGATCTGGTCAGGATCTGAGAGAGGATGACGGCTTCTTGGGCATTCCTGTAGATAAGGTCTTCAGAGGAACATTGGGTGAACAGCCAAGGGAGGAAGGGATGGGATGGTTTCTATCATCAGATTGAACTGTAAAGGAGCCACAGGATGACAGGTGGTGGTAGGAATTCCACTGAAGTCTGTGTGTACAGTGACTGCCTAGAGGAGCTGGCACCCCCATGGACTGGGTGTACACCCTGGCAGAAGAAAAGGCTACAACATCACCAAGGTGGGACATTTGCCAGAGATGCATACCAAGGCACTTATAAAGTGGAATCTGCTAGCCAAGATCCCCTTTTTCAGACTGATGAGAGGAAGGGGCAGCCAAGGGCAGCCCAAGGCCACCTCACCTCCATTGCAAGGAACAGCCCACACAGACAACAAATTCAAGAGCACATCTAATGCAAGTTCCTTGATTTGTGCTCTCTATAGGCTGGGAATTTGGAGCTCTTCCTTGAGGGAGCGAGGGTGATCAGGTCAAGGAAGACGCAGAAACTTGAAGAACCCATCTGGTATGTTGCTGGTATGTAGAGTCATTCTATCCCTCTGGCTATCCCTTCCAAGCTCCCTGGTTTTGCCATGGTTTTTGTCATGGTTCCCTTCCCTTACTCTACCCTATTCAATGAGTAATCTGAAAGGCTTCACTGCATACACTGGATAGAGGATGGGGAGGGGACAGCAGCCTGCGTGGGTAGCCATGTCTGTGACCTAACTCAAAGAGCCCTGGTTATACTTTCTGGAATTAATGAGCAATGCTATCAAGACCTGGGGCCCAAAAGGAGCAGAGCAGTGACAACAATGAGAAAGCATAGGGTCAGAAGGGAGACACTTTCCCTCTCTGATCTTCCTTTGTTCCCACCTGGTCCTGGTCTTCCCATGCTGAAAGGTCACACTGATAGATCATCTGACCTGGCCTTGCTGCTAGCCTTGCTAAGACGACGCTTGTCACTGTGGTAGCCATGGGGGAGACAGTGACCTGGTGAGGCACCATTGGGCACTTCAGGCTTCTGGCCATAGTGAATGTGGATGAAGCCCTCCCCAGGAATCTGCTCCTGGCCTCGCACTTGCTCAGTGGCCAGGTTGTCTGTGTTCTGCTGGGAGGCCATGTTGTTACTGAAGGGATTGAAGAATTTTCCTCCGGGGCCATTCTCCAGGCACCGGTTGAAGTCAGGGGGTGGTGTGCAGCTCTGGACCATGCCTGCAGAGGGGCCAGGAAGCCGGCACTCAGCCATGCCCTGTCGCGACTTAGCAAATCTCTGTCTGATCTTCTTCCACCCCAAGTGGTAGAGTTCAGCAAGGCTAAGGAAGAGGGACAGTCCAGCCACAGCCAGCATGAAGACAATGAAGACATTCTTCTCCGTGGGCCGGGACACATAACAGTTGACTGGGTGGGGACAGGGACTCCTACGGCAGACATGCAGGGTGTTCAGGAAGATCCCGTAGAGGAGATACTGGCCCACAATGAAGGCCACCTCCATGGTGGTGCGGATCAGGATGCTGCAGACATAGGTGTTGAGCAGAGTGCCCTGGAGGACAATCTTTCCATTCACTTCCTCCCAGCAGGACAGCTCTGCCTTCCCCACCGGGTACTCATAAGAGCCAGCGCCCTGGACCTCTTTGGCCTTCTCGGCCTCGCGTAGCTTCCGCTTCTCCTGCATGCGCACCATGTGCATAGCGTGACCCATGTACACCAGGGAGGGCGTGGAGACGAAGATGATCTGCAGCACCCAGTAGCGGATGTGGGAGATGGGGAAGGCTTGGTCATAGCAGACATTCTCGCAGCCGGGCTGCATCGTATCACACTGAAAGTCAGCCTGTTCATCCCCCCAAGAAGACTCGGCAGCCGTGCCCAGCACGAGCATGCGGAATATGAAGAGGACAGTGAGCCAGACCTTGCCGATCACCGTGGAATGCTTGTGCACTTCCTCCAGGAACTCTCCCAGGAAGCTCCAGTCACCCATCGTGGCTCAGCCAGGAGACAGATGCCAAAACTGCTGCAAACTGGAGAGTGAGAGAGAAAAGGAGAAGGATGATTCTGCAAAGGTCTGGACGGTCCGTCATGTCCTTGGATTCCACTGATCCATACCAATGTGTTTTTTTTAAGAAAGTGCAGCTTAGAAGTCAAATGCACCACCATAAGAACTCTTCCTCCCCTCGACCCCTGGCAACAATAAAAAGATAGACGATTCAAAGTGGTCATATTAGCAAGATTAGAGTATGGTTTCCCACACTTTAACGGACCTAGAAATCAACTAAGCTGTGTGTTACAATGTGGATTCTGTGCTCTTACCCCAGGGAGGGCTGGGGTGGCCCCCAGGAGCCTGGATTTGCAACAAGCAGCCCAAGTGGTTCTGATTGAGGCAGTCAGGGACCGCACCTGGAGAAGCACCTGGAGTAGTGGAAAGAACACGGGACTGGATTCTGCAAATGTGACTCTGGGCATTTACCTTCCTGAGTCTGTTTCATCTGTCAAATAGAGGCAGGAGTAGCTATCCGGGAAGATTTTGAGGATTAAATGAAACGAGGTGTATGATATACTGAAAATCATACCACAAGTATTCTATATGTTTGAATGGCTTTCGGATGAAACAGAAATTTTTTGTGATTCCAGAGGGCAGAACTAGGTGGAGGAGGAAGGAGTGAGCGTGGGTGTGGCAAATTTGGCCACTCAGAAATCACTCTGTGGGCCGGGCGCGGTGGCTCACGCCTGTAATCCTAGCTCTCTGGGAGGCCGAGGCGGGCGGATTGTTTGAGCTCAGGAATTCGAGACCAGCCTGAGCAAGACTGAGACCCCCATCTCTACTAAAAAAACAAAAACAAATTAACTGGACAACTAAAAATATATATAGAAAAAATTAGCCGGGCATGGTGGCGCATGCCTGTAGTCACAGCTACTCAGGAGGCTGAGGCAGTAGGATTGCTTGAGCCCAGGAGTTTGAGGTTGCGTGAGCTAGGCTGACGCCACGGCACTCTAGCCTGGGCAACACAGTGAGACTCTGTCTAAAAAAAAAAAAAAAAGAAATCACTCTGTGATGAGCAGAACCATCCAGCATGGACCAGCTGTGCTGGGAGGTAGTAAACAAAAAGTATGCTTTGGTCACAACCAGCTAAAGGTAGCACAGATGAGAATACTCAGCTTCCCGCAGCCGTAAGTGGCAGGCGGTGTGGATCGTCCCACACCTCAGGGCAGCACAGCCATTCCAGCCGCGCAGCTCAGCTCGCCCTGCTGCTGCCTGCTCACTCTTGTGTCCAGAATAAATGTCCCAAAGCTTTAGGTCTCATACAAAATCTTCCCTCATCTGGCCCCTGCCTGCTTCTTCTGCCTCATGTCCTGCCTGTCCCCATGAGTTCCCTTTATCCAGCCATGCCCAGTCTTCCCCAACGCCCTCCTTCCAGGCTCTACACGCCCCTCACCCCTAGCTGAATCCCATTTACCCTTCCAAACTTAACCTCATCATTGCTTCCTCCAGCTCTCTCTGCTCCCTCAAGCTGAGCCTCTTTAGCTCCTGTGGTGGCCCTGGGACACTCACTCCTCCCATCACCTGCCACCTTATATTGTGATCCTCTGCCTGTCTGTGTTCTCCCAGTAGCGACTCTTTAGAAATAGAGACTGTCTTTTCCTCTGTATCGTCAGAGCCTGGCCCGGAGTAGGTGCTTAGTAAATCTTAGTTGAGTGAAAGAAGGAGAGGGTGGCAGGCACTCATGTTTCCTACCTGATAGCAAACCAGCTCCTTGTTCCTCGCCTGCCTCCTATGGGCAGGGTGAAAAGCCAAATATCACTTTTTCAGTCTCCACTGCAGTTAGTTCTGGTCAGTGAAGTGTGGGGAGAGTCTGAGGTGGAGGGAGGGTTCTGGAAAAGGTTTTCCATCCCCCAGGACATGGAGGGAGCCTTACTCACAGTCCTCCCTGCCCCCACACTTCCTGCCTGTGGACAGGGTTGTGTGAGCCAAGAAGTCTAAAGCTGCCCAGAGAATCTCAGAAATGCCAACCAGTGGCCTGAGGCCTCTGAATCAACCCTTGATCCTCTGACCTCCAGAATTCTTACTTGGTGAACAATAAATGTCCTTATGGTTTAAGCCTCTAACCAATCCTAATCAACAGGATAAGAAAAAGATAGGAGGGACTGAACATAAATATTCCCTCTTAGAATCATAAAACCTCAGATCTGGATGGAATCTTAGAGATTGTCAAGTTCAAACTTTGACTTTCATTATCTTTACTGCCAACATGCTCCTGGTTCCTGTTGGAACATTCTTTATGCTTACGGAGAAAGGGTGGGCACAGTACATTTCATAATCCAGGTTTCCTTGAATCCCGAGTTGATTGTTGTCTTGATAGAGACCAACCTCCTGGCTCTGTCTTCTCCCAGCAGCCAGGTCCCCAACCTTGAGAATACGCAGAGTCCCTGGGAATGAAGGAGTCCCTGAGTGAGCAGAAAGGGTCTTATCTCTGCGCCTTTCCATGTCAAAGACCCATCCAGGTCTTGAGGCCTTTCCTATGGCTTGTGATCAGACATCTGCCCCTTTTCCTAAGGTGGTGAACAGTCCCCTCTTGCAGCCTCCAAATGTGGAAAATTGTGGAGCGTTTGCTCAAAAGGAAAATGGCTGATTAGACAAGCGTTTGAATGGTCTGTCATCTCTTCTGGGCATGTGTACAGTGTTCAGCACTTTTGGGGTCAGCCACACATGAGCAGTGATCAGACTATGGTGAGTGTCTGAAAGAAAGAGGGAGGGAGAGAAGGGGAGAAATAGAAAGAGAGAAGAGCAGCAGAAAAGGGGAATGACAGGGAAGTTGGAAAGAGAAAAAGAGACGACATAATGATTAGGAGAAGACAGATACAGGAGTTTGGTAACAGAAGTTCATATTTATCTACTGAGCTTAGGTAAATGATTCGATCTGTGTTTCACTTTCCTCACCTGCCGAATGGAGATAGTATTATTTAGCTCATAGAGTGCTATGAGGTGATACATAAAAAACATTTAGCACAGCGCTTAGTATACAAGAACTGAATAAAAGGCAGCCATTGCTAGCAAAGAGAGTGGTGAGGAAGAATGAGAATAGAAGAAGGAGAGAGAAAGAGAAAGTAGAAAGTAGAGAGTAAAGTGCATTACAAAGGAGAAAGAGAGATGGGGGGAAAGCAGAAGGGGAACAAATGAGAGGAAAATGGAAACAAAAAGGAAGCAAAAAGCAGCAAATATATTCTTCCAGGATTTGGGACAGGTTTTTCACATTCAGTCCCTGAAGACTTTTCCCTTGATCTTCTCATTCTGTCACTCTGTCCTTGCCAGTCCCCAAGGAAGCCTAAAAATAGTTCCAAGCAAAGAATGTGATGCTTTGGTCTCCTCTGCCAAGAAGCTTGACTGCTGATGCCCTCACTGTGGTCTAAGGAATCCCACCTAGAAGAAGTAAAGCACAGGTGCAAGATAGGAAAATCTTGGAAACCCAGAAAGACAGTGTTAGGAAGGATGTCTTATCAGGAAGGAACAAGAGAAACTAGCTGAGGACGAATGGTAATGAGGCAGACCCCCTGGGCCCTGGCAGAGGAAACGGGGTGAAGGAGTTTGCATTTATGACTTCCTGCTGACACTCAGGCAAGGTCAGAGAAACTTAAAGTTGCTACCATGTCCCAGATGCTCATTTTATAATGTGAAAGGTCCCTGGCTGAAGTTAGTTTTCCAGCTACATTGGATCCCTTTGGCACCCCCCGCCCTACCCCCAATCTCAGCCACAGAAATTTGTAGATTAGATACTCAGTGAGTTTACTGGGTGTATAGCATATAAAATGCTTTATAGATCATTATCCATTGCTTGGCAGGAAGTCTGTTAGGAGGGGCAAGGGAAGCCACCCATGCCATAAATAAATTCTATCAAATACAATGGTAATTTGCTTCATTGCTTTGGCAGTTATCTTCACTGGCTTCCTACTGCTTATAAAGTCCAAACTCTTTAACTTGCCATTTGAGAGCCTCCAGAGCACAGCCTCATCCTATGTTTTTTCCACTGTTGCTCTCACATACTCAATACTTGAGCAATTCCCCATTCACAGATACACATCCCACAATTTGTCACCTCTTTTTCTTGTCTCCCCATGTTCCCTCTTCCCAGAATGTCCTTCTTCCCTATCATTCATTCATTGAGTGGCCACGCGGTGCCAGGCATCATGCTAAGTAAGCACTGAGCATACAGCAGGAAGAAAGGGAAACAAACAAGGATTCCCTGCTTTACTGAGTTTAACTGCCTTTATTTCCTTTAATTAAGGGGTGATGTTAAACAGACAATTTCGATAAAACATGTTGTGTGTTAATATTAAGGAAGTACAAGGTGCTATAGGAATGTCTGAACCAGGAGCCTGTAGGTCCTGAATGCAGGAGCCTGAACCTGGATAACTGTGTCTACAGCCCTCTGCAACAGATACAAGCTCTGAGATTGCCAAGGTGAAAAGAGAAGGTCCCTAGAATCTAGATGAGAACATCCAAACTCTAAAGTTCTTCACTCCAAACCCTTCAGTATCCTCATTTAATGTGTCATATCCTATAATAAAGCAGATTTGGGAGGAGGCACTAGGGAACTTGGTTGGTAATAGTAACATGGTGCTTGGATAAGGGAGAGGGACAGAGGCAGGATTGTATGTATAGTGAGCATGAATCATTCTATGCCTTTACTTCATATTATATGGCTAGAAATAAAACTCAGGTATCTGCATTCTTAATCCAGTGCTCTTCCTTATGATGACATTATGGTCCCCTTACACAGCCAATGTTTTCAAAGGAAACCATTTCAGAATAACCTAGATTAATCATAAACTCATAGCCAGGACCTATTCTCCTGACCCCCCAGATTCAGGGTGAGATGGAGAAGTCTTCTAAAATTGACCTTAGCCCTCTTCGATGTCTCCTAGACTTTAAAGGACTCTAAATTACCATCCAGCCTGTGGGATACATTCTCACATGTGGTTATATGCTGCCTTAGATTTGTTTTCCAAACGTTTCT